TGCAATAATTTATCAGGCATTTTTGCAGTTAGTTTTGTATCACAAATTTGATGTTGCAAATATGATGTTTTGCATCACTACCAGTGTAAAATGGCCCTCTCACAAAATCCGTTGAGGAGAACTGATTTATTAGATACAGAAGTGTGTGAATATGGCATATTGTATTTGTAGGTGCTATTGCACTAGCAGGAGCAGACTCAGGATTGTGGGCAGTGGATGGAGGGAATAAGATGGTTTGTTCCGGCCTTCTGTACCACAGCAAAGCGGAACTTGTTCCAGCTCGTGTGACAGCCATCTCCATGAAGATGAGACCATCCAAAACTGGTACAGTCCACTTTGAACATTATAGAGAATCGTTTTATATATTATGTACACTGCCAACAAAAGTTCACAAGTTTGGGGTCAATAAGTTGATTTCTTGCCAACCCCAAACAGTCATATTTTATCAATTTTGTTGTTGTCCTTTCAGGTTCCGCTGCAAATTTCTACGAAGTGAACTACGTTGGTGAGTCTGGTGCCGCCCATTCCACGTACGACATAGTTGTAGTTGCCACACCTCTCCACCAGGGCATGTCTGACATCAACTTCTCAGGCTTTTCTCCACCCATTCCAACCCACTTCCCTGGCCGCTACCACCAAACGGTGGCCACGCTGGTCCACGGCCTGCTCAATGTGTCCTATCTGGGCACCACAGAGAAGCCAGAACGCTTCTTTGTTTCTGACGTCCTCACATTAGACAACAAAGCCTCCGAGATCCACAGCCTGAGCTCTCTGAACCCGGTAAAGATTCCCAAGGGTTACTCCCCCAGCCCTGCCAGTCAACACAAAGTATGGAAGATCTTCTCCTCCCAGCCACTTTCTCAGAAGAATCTGCAGCAAATCTTCCTTTCCTGGGACTCTGTGTTGGAGAAGCGCTGGCTCGCGTACCCCTCCTACAGCCCACCGCACCGCAGGACGCCTCCCTTCATCCTCCATGATCGCCTCTACTACCTCAATGCCGTGGAGTGGGCGGCTAGCGCCATGGAGATGAGTGCCATTTCCGCCCGCAATCTGGCCCTGCTCGCCCACCACCGCTGGTACGAGCAGACGGCCAAAATCAACCAAGAGGACCTGCACACCAGACTCAAAGGTGAACTTTGAAAGAGGAGCACTGCGGAACTGGGTTCATAAGCAATAAAATCTAGTATGGAGATGAGAGATTGGATTTTTGAAAGGCAGACCTGTGCTGTATATTTTTAAAATGAATTTCTTAGGTTATTACATAGGTAATTACAAATAAGCACATCCACAATAATCATTACTGAAATTTACTAGATTTGCTGTTTTAATTAAAATACAAAGTAATTTATTATTAAAATAATTAATAACTATAAAAGAGATTTGACTGACGATAAACTCTATTACTTTGTCTCCTACAAATTTTGGCCTGGTATTTAAAGTAGAATCACTTAAAATGATCAAAAATAATTTTCCTTAATTTAAATAAAGCTGAACTTTATATATATATATAACACAAACATGAGAAATGTTGCTTTTGAAGTACTAAAATTCAAATAAATATAAATAAAAGCTAAATAGAAATATAAAAAATAAAAAAGATTTCTAAAACATGCATTAAAATGAAAACTAAAATTTTCTAAATGAATAAATACTGTTATAGTGTATAAGATAACACTTAATCAAATGATTATATATTATATCAGATAAACATACCATATTTAATAAATATTTGTAATTTTAGTTTTGTTTTAGATTGCTAAAAGCGAAATTTGTAAATGTTCATTTCGTACCGGTCACTTACGGGTAAAACAGCAAGTTTCACAAACTACCAAGCCATAGAGAAAACAATTATTTGACATCCTTTTTGTACACAGTCTGTCTATATTAATCTTTGTGGGTGAATCTCTTGAAACCTGTCTCTTGAAACGTGCTGTAAAATCACAATTAAGCGCGTTTAATCTGAATTTTTGGGCGTGTGTGTTATTCTCAGTGATGATCTTCATTATATTTTTTACCATATTACTTTAAAATGGCATAAATTAAAGACTGTACAACAAATACAACCCTTCATGATAATTACAACTTCAATTTTTGGATTGTTTTGTGTTATGACCTGGACTTGTTCTAGACAAGTTTCATGAGATTCACTCTTGTATCCTTCAGGAACATTTTAGGAAGAGCAAGCCTAGATGCTCTGTAAAATGTCACAGTAGTAGTGGCCGTTTATGTGATAGAGTGTGGATATACAGTCCACTTAACTGCTTGTGATGAGACACTGTAGGAGCGCTGTGATTAGCACTAGACACAGCTCTCTCTCTCTCTCTGTCTCTTCTCAATGAAATGGAACAAAGTAATGATATTGATTACTACTGCTACTTGCGTGTGTGTGTGTGTGTTTGGTGGGCACCATCATGTGCCAGGCTTCCACAGATTTGATATTTACCTGTGTTTAACTGTGGTTAAATCAGTCTGGTTCACCTGCTCAGTCCTCGAACTTGAATACAGCCTCAGTGACCTATAACTCTCATGCATGTGGCTAAGAAACTTTAGAATTCTTATAATTTTATTCTTCCTGCAAAATGTGCATTTAGTATAATGTTAATTATTCTTGGTGCCTTAAAGTGTCTTTATTTTTCAAAAATGCAAAGAATTTAAGAATTTGAAAGAAAGGATGTGTGACTTGATTTTACTTCAGCTGACCAAAGTCAAGTTTTATGAATATATATTTTGATGACATTCTCCTCCCAAATCCTTCTGAAAAATGTAAACTAAAAGTTAAGCAAAAATCTATAAAAACTCTTTCCCAGTTGCACAGACAATCACAGTCCAGGCAAAAGTTAATACTACTGACACATGGGCTGGGGCTTGATATGTTTCTAACTTTCTGACTTTATTTTTCATGCAAATGAGCCGTTCTGATCAATGGTTTGCTTGTAAATGTTGCCTTCCTGGAAAGCAAAATATTCCATTTACATATTTTAAATTTTTTGTTTGTTTATTTTTTTAACAAGGAGGAACAGTGTTAAGAAATGAATGAAGAGTGCTTTTATAAGAACAAATGGATGCTGTTTAATAACTTAAGAATGAGAATTTTGTTGATTGAAGATCACAACCTGTTTACAATTGCAATAAAATTTAATGTCTTTTAATATGTAATTAAATGTCTTTGTGTATAAATCTTGCATATCCACCAGTTCATGTCACCCCTGTGGGCTTTAGATAGCCAGTAAAGGGCCACTTAAAGTGTAGCTCCTTTTTGAGCTGTTACTTATCTTATTATTCATATGACCATTGAAAGTGATACATATAAAATGGTACAAGGAGAGGCTTAACCTCTCTAGAGGAACGGTTAATATTCCCAGATGTTTTCCTATCTAAAACAATACATTTTTACAATCACAAAGTGTGTTTAATGTGGCATACAGGTGTAATATATTTATGGAGGAATCACACCAGTGACAAGGAAATACTGGAGATGTGAGAGGATCCTCTGGGACCAGGGAGCGTGAGAGAGCAGCTCTGGGACTGGACACCAACTCTGACCGAAGCTACTACGGGAAACACTGCGGCGGCTATGGCTGGAACTTCTTTAGCATGAATCTCTGCTCCATCACGAGAGGAACCTTTGTGTCAAGAGATGATGACCCTGTCCGTCATGTCAGGAACCTCTCGAAAGCTTTGAAACAGAAGCTGCCATGATGTAATGCCTGTTACTCTCACACACATCTGCAATCTTTAGTTTTTGCAGGAACCTTTGAAGCAGCAGTGTGAGAAACCTCAGGGACCAGCAAAGCTGTGAAATGGGCATCCTAGTATTTTCAAGGCAGGCACCTCTCTGGGCCCTCAGCTTTAGTAGTTTGTTTATGGCAGCCTACACTGGTGTTTCTGAAGCGGCCCAGACAGGATCTCTGGGCCCAAGGCAGCTGAGAAAAGGAGCAATAGTGAGAGGAACTTGTAGGCCTGGCTTGACAGGGAGGTTGGGGACGGGGCAGCATCAGTGTCCTGGTCCACCTCACTGTGGTCCTCCTGAGCCATGGTAGATTTGGGTGGAGAGAAACGAGTAAAGAAGAGGCGAACCTCCTCTTTTTATGCCTTCTTTCTTTCTTCCCTCTCCCGCTCGTCTCGTCAGGATGAGGTTGGAGCACCGCCGTGTAGTCGGTGGGTGTCAGTGGTGAACTCACCTCCTTCCTCCGCTTTCTCTCCTCGATAGTCGCCGTCCCATAATCAACACGATAAACCACTATCAACAACTGTTGATAACACTAAACTCCATACTCACCACGAAGGGATTTATATAGTCCTGCGTCACGTTCCAAAACTCCTGAAATATTCATAAGGGCTCATACAGAGCCGAGCACAGCAGATTCTCACACACATTAAAACAATGTCTAATGACGAATTACGTGAAATCTAAAAACACACATCTAATCCATGTGTATTCAAAACAAATGTATGAATATTTTAAATTTTTTGTAAAAAAAAAAAAAATTTGCCATCACTGGCTGACTGTACATGATTTTCTACTTTAAATCATATAAAAGAATACCCCTGAATTGTAAACAGCCCTTTTTTGGCAAGTTTTCTGTAGTGCACTTCTAAACACAGAAAATAACTCTACACTTCCGTTATAATACATCTAATCTTCTATTGTGTAAAGGCATGGCCAATGTTGTTCAGTGAATTTACACAGCCACAATTCAGTCATTTCATTTCACTGATGCAAGAATTTACTTGATTGGAAAAGTGACTTCTGTGTGAGCCTGCTTCATATATCGCTTAACTCTCTCAAAATACATGTTTTGGGAAAAAAAAAACTGTTTACAGCATACAGCATTTACTAATATTCTGCAGTTCACCAACATTCATTCACAATTAATTTGGACTGCATGAATATTATTAGTATTATTATATTAGTATAATATTTTCATTATTGAAAAAATTAATAGCAAAAACCTTGGAATAATGATGAATGATCTTTCATACAAGCACTGGGTCAGTGATTATCGGGAAAAACAAAATATTCCAAATTTATTCGAACAAACAAAACAAACACACAAAATCTTTGTGTAGTTACACCATAGTGCTTCAGGGATTTTATCATTTTAATTTTCTGTCTTTTATCCTAGAATGAGACTCAAATCTTTATTTATGTCCAGTTTCGGTTTCAGACACAGTGCTTCCTTCCAAAATCGGCTCAGTAGTCTCAGCGGTCACGCTTTCCGCTGTGCTCTTTGTCTTTGACAAACTCCCGTAAATCGCCATGGCCTGAAGACGGTAGAGAACAATGAGGTATACATGTCAACTAGGGACATGAGGGTTATTATTAGGAAATATTATGTGCAATATATATATAAACGAAGCCATACCTGAGTGACCATGCTGCTGATGTCTCCTGTGTTAGAAGGCAGTAAGATGGTGTTGGATTCCTTGGCCAGGTTGGAGAAAGCAGAGACATACTGTTCGGCCACAGTTAAAGATGCTGCAGCGTTTCCATTCTGTACAGATACAGTTATGAACGGTCAATAAGATGCCTTGATAATGTAAAACAGCCGGAACTCACTATGTTCATCTCTGGTTTAATATTGTATCAGTTTACACGCACGATTGATTCCTCTCTGCTAATATATAGTGTGATGATGTATAAGTGTGATATGGGTTCGTATGAAGGTTCTTCATCAGGTGAATCAGATCTACCTGCTGAGTGAGCGCCTCGGACAGCAGCCGGATAGCTTTGGCCTTTGCCTCAGCTTTAGCCAAAACAGCATTCGCTTCACCTGTACAGGGTGAAACAATATCATTAATATGACGGTGGGCATAATGAATATTTCAACATTAATATAATTATGAACATAAATAATCATAATAAATGAGTAAATATTTATTTGAGAATAAATGCAACATAATAATAATAAAAAATAATGATTTTGTTATCCTTAATAATAACAAATATTTATACAAACATTATACAAAAATAATAACCTTTATACCAGGGCTGCCCAAACTCGGTCCTGGAGGGCCGGTGTCCTGCAGAGTTTAGCTCCAACTTGCCTCAACACACCTGCCTTTAAGTTTCTAGTATGCCTATAAGAGCTTGATTAGCTGGTTCAGGTGTGTCTAATTGGGGTTGGAGCTAAACTCTGCAGGACACCGGCCCTCCAGGACCGAGTTTGGGCACCCCTGCTTTATACAATTATTGAGAGCATTCTTACATATAATATTGTCTCATGGTACAGTAATATAACAGTTAAACAGAAGAACAAACTCACAAATAATTAATCAGGCAAATAAGATTACTGGCTATAAATAACATTCACTTCAGGTCTTATTTGATTGTTTTACGGAAAAAACAGAAATTGGGATTTTTAAAGATCATCCTCATCCCCTCCACTCTACTTCTGAAATGCTTCCATCAGGGCATAGGCTTAAAATTCCTCTGGCCAGAAGAAATGCTTATAAAAAAAATAATTTGTCCCAATGGTATTTGTTATTTTAAATCGGATTATTGTTTGAAGGAAATGCAAGAGAGTGGTTGGTAGTACAGTGTTTAATGGATTTCATGGAATACATTGATTTATATATATTACTGTGGATGATGATTTGTAATGTGTAAGGAATGTTTGGGGTTGAGTCAGTTACCTAAACTTGTGTAATTTTATGTTGTGCTGTGTTTTTTAGGATTAATGTGGATGCATCTATGTCACCAGTGTCAAAGACAAATTTCTGCTCTGTGACAAGAAGAACGGACAATAAAGTTAAACTTAAATTATATAATTAATTATATTATTATTAGAAATTATTTTAACAATCAAAACAACAATATAAACAAGCAATTATTTTTGTTTATTATTTATGATGTTTATTATTATATTATATATGTTGTGTATTTTATTACTTATATTCACTATTAATAATAGTAAAATATAATCATATTAAAAATAACATTTATTATTATTATTAACAAGAACAACAACAATAATAAAAAGTAATAATAATTATTATTATTATTAAATCAACAAGAAACAGCATTCCCAACCCATTTTATTTGCTATCTGACACATTTCTAAGGGAAACTGGATATCCAATGTAAAAATTGTAACATTAATGTAAACCAACATTAACAACAAGTTGTAAATCATCATAAACCAATAGTCCACAAGGCCTTTTTTGGAATATATTTTTGTTTTTGTTAATATTATGAATTAGTTTATTTTAATTTGAGTTAAGTTGTATTGATTTTGTTATGTTTTTGTCATTTTTATTAGTTAGTTTTTTAAAAATGTCTATATAGTTTTTTTAGTACCTCAACTTAAAATGAGAAGTGATGCCTTGACAACTATATATTTTTTTACTTTATTTAAATTAATTTATAGATTTTTTTTTTTCAATACTGAAAATGTTTTTGTATTTTAAGTTAATGAGACTTCAGCCAAAAAGGAAATGCAGTTCAGAGGTTATTACATAAATCATTTTGAAAAAACTACAAAACAAAACCTCAACAACACATTTGTTTTCTACTACAAACATTAAGTGAAACCCCAGATGTTAAGTAAAAAAACCCCACCAGCAGCTTTGTTAATCTGTTCGGCCTTCTGTCCCTCAGACGCCAGAATCTGAGCCTGTTTGCGCCCCTCGGCCACATTGATGGCCGCCTCCCTCGTCCCCTCTGACTCCAGAACAGTGGCTCTCTTCTTCCGCTCGGCCTCCACCTGACCGTGATTCATGTTAGTTCAGTCACATAACTGAGAGGAGATCACTGTAGTCTGAGAGATGAAGTTGAAGAGCAAATCGTCATACCTGCATTTGCATAGACTCTTTTACCCGTGGAGGAACGTGAATGTCTTTGATCTCGTATCGAAGACATCGAATCCCCCAATCATCTGATGCCTGGTTTATTGAGTGGACCATATTGGCATTCAGGGACTCTCTTTCCTGTCAAACAGCAAAAATGATCCTTAAGCACACAAATGAATGGTGAATAAGATATTGTGTCAGTCACTGAGAGATTGTCTGGCATTCACACCCTAAACACTTTGTCCAGGGTGAGTTTTCCCAGCTCTGATCTCATGGTGGTCTGTGCCAGCTGGGTGACAGCATATTCTGGGTCCTCCACTCCATAACTGGCCTTCAGAGGAGAACAAAAGCACACTGTGAGAGGAAAAGCCAAAAGAAATACTGGCAGAAAGCAGAAAAGTACTTACCTTAAACGGGTCGAGTATCCTGAGATATAAAACTCCATCTATCTGCAATGTCACGTTGTCTAAAAGCAAAACGACATATTGGTTTCATCTAAAACAATCCATGAAAGTAGGAGTGGATAAAGATCACAACGCCAGCCTGCGACTTACCGAGGGAAACTGCTGACTGCTCTGGCACATCGATCACTATCTCTTTAAGGCTTTGAACATATTTAACTCGGTCCAAGATGGGAATTAAGAAGTTTAGACCCTGCAGGAAACAAAAAAGTGTGTTATTTTAATGGCTGGAAATGATTTAAATACATTGAAGCTATTCGTAAGGGTAACTCACTGGTTCCAGGATTCGGTGGAAACGGCCCATCCTCTCCACTACCCAAGCTTCCTGCTGGGGTACGAACAGAACCACAGTGTTCATAGGGAGGCTGGAAGCCCATCGCTGCTGAGCTCGGCTCCCCCACAAAGCAGGCACGGTTTGCCGTGAATGCTGCACACAGAAGAGACAGAATGCAATGTAGTAAAGAAAAGAAGCAAATTACATGGCTCCACACACACATATAAAAAGTATAATACAAATAATAATTACAATACTCATTTATATAGTATTTTGTGCAACAATTATTATTTGTATTATATATTAATTACTGTATATTATAAATGTTATTAATAATTGTATTCTGTAATTATTTAAGAATACATGTAACAATTAATGAGTAATAAAAATGTTTGTTTAAACAAATACAACAATTACACATTAAATATAATTTAATACACATTAGTGCTGTCAGACGATTAAATGCGATTAATCGCATCCCAAACATTTTTTTTGTTTGTGCGTGTGTTGTGTACATTTATTATGTACATATAAATACACACACATGCAGTATATTGAAAAAAATATTTACATGTATTTACATGTCTATATTTATATTCATATAATTTATATCATAAATAAATATATAAAAATAAAATTTTTCTGAAATGTATACATGCATGCGTATTTATATTTTTGATTGCTTCCATTGTCCTCATTTGTAAGTCGCTTTGGATAAAAGCGTCTGCTAAATGACTAAGTGTAAATGTAAATATACATAATAAATATACACAGTATACATATATTATGTAAACAAAAAAAACGGTTATTTTGGATGCGATTAATCGTTTGACAGCACTAATATATATTAGGGCTGAAACGATTCCTCGAGTAACTCGAATAGTTTAGTTTATTTTTTGTAACTACACACGGAACACTGTTTGCGCCCACAGATCATTATTACTGACGCACAACCCGATAAACGCTGGATAGCCTGCGTCTAGAGGTGTTCGATTCCAGGTTTTTTGGAGTCGACTATGACTCTCGGTTCCGGCCCTGTCCCAAATGGAACACTTCATGTGCACTTGCGGTCTTACGGACTTACAATGGTTGCCGCGTGCGCATTAGGGATGGGAGTATCGATCCAAAGTATCGATATATCGATACTGACGCGAGTATCGAAAGTATCGATACTCAAACAAAAATTATATACCGTATTTGAACCATGTGTAAACAAAAATATAACCTAATAAGTTACAATTAAGGCATATTGAATGTTAAAATGCGTTTTAAAAAGAGTTAAGTGTGTATCATTACCCATTTTACTCTTAGTAATTTAATAATTTAATAAATGTCATAATTTAAAAGTTTAGTTCAGAAGTATCGAATCGGTATCGATATCGACGATACTGCCTTGAAAAATATCGGTATCGTATCGAAAACAAAATAAGTGGTATCGCCCATCCCTAGTGCACATGTCCGTTAAGTCCACGAGACCGTAGTGTGTCCCATGCGTCATTTTAGCGTTCAGAAGGGTGCTTGCGAGCGCCCTCGATCTGCACTTCTGCTGAGCCCGCACTGGGGCGAGCTCCACAGCAGACTTACCCGCCCACCATTGGAGTCGATGGAATCGACTCCTCGACTCCATTTGGCGTGCCTGTCCAAATTAGTCCAATTTATTGGTGGTGACATTACCTTTAAATGAGCTATCAATGATCAACGTTGTTAGCGGATGCCGACACCTAATTTTACAAAGGGAAAACTCTGTAAACAAAACAAAAAAAAGGCCGTGGTGGATTATGTCAGAATTAAATAAGGTATTCTGTAATGAATTTGTCTCATTATAATGGTCAGGGGATGGTGATATATTGGCTTAAACAGCATTGATATTAAAAATAAATACAATGATACAAAAATACATACGAATGTAAACTTGTTAATTTTTTTATTCTTGTTTATCATCGCAGTGATCGTTTCACAAGAGTTTCCGCACCGAGTCTATTTTTGTTGTGCTGCACCAAGCGGCAACCTCCCGCTCTCTCTCGTGAAGCCAACATGGTGACGCGCTGCCAAGATGGCGGCGGCCAGCTCCGCCCACTTTGAGCTTCAAAACCGCTCTTCAGAGACATTACGTCCATGTTTTTATACAGTCTATGTGCTGCACATGCTGAATTAAAGTGACAGCGCATTGCTCACGGTAAAAATGAACATAGATTGATACGAAATGTATTAATTACACCATAAATGCAAGTAAGTAGGCCTAAAGACGGGTTTTTTTTTTTTTTTACAGTTAACACGGTTTTTTAGCAATGGGGGTAAAGCAAGGAAAAAGTACCCTTTTAAATAAATAGGCTACGCTACGGCAACATAGATGGCACTCGTGGAGTTAGAAAAACTTCTTTATGACCAGCAGGATTGTAATAAGGATGGAATGCAAAAGAAGACAGACAGCTGTTTCGGTCAATGGTAAGTTTTAATTTAAATTGTTTGTGATAGCCTACTACCTTTTAACGTAAGAAATGTAGACTGCAGGCTGTGTTTACGTTTTGCCACTTGCTTGAGTTTCTTAATAATATATAATGTTAAGTAGCCTATATACAGAAGCAGGATGACCATATTTTAGTTTTCCAAAAAGAGGACAGTGGGTGCGGGCCGGGCGGGACGGGGGGCTGGGGTGTGTTTGGTGGTTAAAGTAATGCTGAAAGTGCCCAAAGTAGCGCAATCTCAAATATCAAAACTCAAAATATGTCATTTCCATACCTAATATACATATTTTACAGTCACTGTTATGCATATTGATCATAAACACAGCCAAAAAGCTTCCTACCAGTGGCCCTTCTTCACAAAACTTAACATCTAGCACAGTTTTATCATAGGTGGAATGCAAAATGTTTCAATACAAGCATTTCAGTCAAATGTAGGCTAATTTATGCAACATTTCAAACCTGTAACCAGGGCCGGCCCTGACCAATTTGGTGCCCTAGGCAAGATTTTAGCTGGTGCCCCTTGCAATTCCACCACCGATCATTCACACAGAAACCGCATAGCTTTATGACATAAAACAAATTACATATAAATAAGACGGTTGCACAAAAAATAAATAAATAAACTGACTTTAACTCAACTAGCTTTTTTAAATTAGAGAACTTTATCGTCCAAAGGCAAAAGACAAGAAAGAATTAAAATATGTGTAGGAAGAATATGGTTAGTTGCTTCATTATATTTTGATCTAATTTCAAAACCTGAAGCAAAAACAGAATGGTTTGACTTTAGCTTTGTGAAATTAGGCTACATAAAACATACCAAACAGCAGATGGGCTGAATGAAAATGCAAATTCACTCTGTCAGTAGGTGGCGCTTAAAGAACAGCAGCAATACATTGTAAACACTAAATGCATTATACAGAGGCAAGATGAAAGGAAAATACCAGCTAAACTGTTTCTTAAGACAGTCAGTTCCCCTCAGAGATACATTCATACTTCGCGTATTGTGAACTGTGAGCTTGCTCTGCCTGATAATGTATTTTCTCCTCTTTGTGTCTTTGGCCTCTAAATCAAAAGAAATCAAGCCATGGCAACAGTTTAAAAGCAGCCCAATTCCATCTGAAAAAAAAAACGCGGACTTGACAACACTGCATCCAACACGAGCTGCAGGAGTCAGATTTGACTGATCACAGGTTGAGAGGAGAGATGGCTGACAGACTATGCTGGAGGATTTGCTGCTCAACAGATCCTGAGCTCATTGAAAAATATCTGATCTTCCTTTACACGGAGCGCACGTGATCGCGAAATCGAAAGTGTACAGCGAGCGCTCATCCAAAAGAGATTATATTCTCCACATATTGATAGCGGCATATTGATTTGAGAATCAGTGAAGACATCAGCGATTTCTGAGTCGACGTACAACGAGAGTCGATTCCAGTGCTGGAGTCGACTCCGACTCTAGAGCTATTCAGAGACGAGGAATCGACTCTTAATCTATGTGATATTAGTCATTTTCAATACTATTTAGGGCAGATAGGGTGGATAGTATGCACATTGGGACGCAGGGATATTTAAGACCGTAAATCAATATGGTGGCTAACGTTAGTTATGATGTCCCTACGTTAGCTATGTTTTCTGAAAGACTAAGCGCCATTCATGTTGATTGTCTCATTCTCTCTCTGTGACACACACACCCCATACAGTTATGCATAAAAATACCACAGAAAGAAAGTTAGTCAATATCACACGAAGAGTGCCAGTTTTCACCTCTAAAAATCAGCATGACTACAAATGTGATACTGATTTTATGCAACAGTTCAAGTAAACAAGTTAATATTAAGAGACTTACGTTTTAGACACTATATTGCCTGTCTTTGCCAAAAAAAAAAGATCCAAAATTAAAGTGAATTGCTGCCACCTACTGGCGGATTTAATTTCACATTTAAAGTATCTTTTGTTTTTCATTTAGAAAATAATTGTAAATATCAGTATTCAATGTTTTACGTTTAAAATAACAAAATATAATTTTGACTCAAAAGATGATGCACACTTTTAGGGAAACAAAAAGGCTTTATAAAAGTAAAAATGCCCATAAAATGTAAAAATCAATTTAAACTTATTGGAACAGATTCATTTCTATCACTGCTGTGAACTGAGCAGTACACAGAATATGAAGGATATCAAAAACAAGTTGTACACACACACACACAAGTACGTACAGAGACATTTAAGAGGGTTTATTCTCCAAATAACTATAATTTCACGTTGCAGAAAAATGTGTTTAGAAATTGTGTATGGTCTCTTGTTCTTGTTCCAAGTTACCTTCCTGTCCACTGATTTTTGCCTCTCACAAAAGCCACAAAGCCTTCCAAGAAGACAGTAAAGGCTTATGTCATGCTTGAGCTTTAGTTAGGCTGAAACTTGAAAGTTCCGTTGCACGACATAAATGCAATGTTTAGGTATTATTATTATTTTTATTACTATTATTTTGATTTATGCCTCAGTTTTAGTTTGTACTGTTTACCTTTTTTTAAAATAATGTGAAATATATTTTTATATTTCTTGATTTATGCCTTCATTTTAAGTTGCAATGTTTACCTTTTTTAAAGTAATGTGAAATTGATTTTTGTATTTTTATTTATTTATTTTATTTAGATTTTTATTTGATCGTTTTTGTATTTGCATTTTGAATGTAATTTGGCAATTAAATGCATTAAATGGGTTTAGTTTTCACCGTTACTGAACAATTAATTTCAATTTTATCATTACAGTTAATGTCTATTTTATTTGAAGTAATAAAAGTAAAAAATGTTTTATATGATTTTAGTTTTTGTTAACAAAATTACCATGGTGACTTAAGCAAAAATGGAAATTCAGTTCAGAAGTGAGGCAAGTTAATGCATGAATCATTCACAATAACATTTTAGATAAATTTTGATTTCAGATTTGACCTTAACACCCTTAAAGTATTCGTTTCTGGTAGTAGTACCAGAAACTAGTACAACTTGTACCGTTTTTGTTTTTTTGTGCTGTCAATCAAGATAAATTCCACTGTGACTGCAATGGCAAAAAAAAAAAAAAAAAAGTCATTCTGACCTCTACCAAAAAAAAAAAAAAAAAAGGTTTATACAAACGGTCCCCTTCCATTTAAGGCTTTTAACAAAGGTTAAAGTTGAAGTTTACATACACAGGACCGTGGGATGGAAGTCTGATGAAACAAATAGCTACAATCATCACGTGCTCAAAGAAAATCACATTATTGCGATTTTAATGTAATTAATAAATTAATTATTATTTAAATGATCTTTAACGTAAACGTGCGACCAAGGTCATTTCTATGTCTTTGATTTCGAAGTGAATTTTATTAAATTAAATGAAGTGTCGAGCAGTGCGAAGTCCTCAGAGCAACATCGCACACGTGTGTTACCTTTAAAAGGCCGCTCCCTGCCCGACACACCACCGTCCTGAGCATGTTCAGTCTTTATGCAAACAGACGCTAAAAGATGAATGTGACAACTGAACGAATTCTTCTCGAGTTTGCACTACAAACGTGACCCTGTTACAGCTGCGGAAATCACGTTACAACACCACGAGCGTGCGTCAGTGACAAACATCCGAGTCTGCGAGGGAAACAAATGCTTTTATTATTTGGTTCCGGTGTTGTGCCAACGTCCGTAACTGAAACCGGGTGTGAAATATTACAAACAAAAAGATAACAGTGTTGCAAAAATTATAAGTATCACACTTTCATAAATTCTGTAGTACTGCATCAAATAGTTGTACATAAGTCAACAGAAATGATAGTTTGTTGTGGTGAATGTGCAAAGTGGGCTCACATTGACAGCTCAAGTCCAGTGTTGTTATTAACTAAAAAATATGATAAAACTATTAGTTTTCATAATTGAAAATTAGGCTAGAATAAAATAAAATATAACGATTTGACGAAACGTGCATACAAAATTACAAATGAAGTACTACTAAAACTAACATTGAAAAAAAAATAAAGCTAAATTGAAATATAAAAAAATGACAAAAGTGCAAATTTGCAAAAGTGCAAATAAAAAACGACAAAAGTGCAAATAAAATTAAAATCTAATTAGAAAAATCTATTTTGAAATATTAATAAATACAAATAATATACTATATAATAATATAATAGTATAAAAAGAATATTGAAATAACAAATTGTGTTCAGTCAGTGCTCAGTCACAATGGAGATTTGTCGAAATAATGCATTGTAATGCAAGTTAAAATAAAAAATATTCTTTCAAAAATTCATGTATTTTAATTGGTTTGACATGTGTGTCAAAGTCTCATATGACAAAGTCTCAGAAATTAATTAATTTTCACAGCAGGAGGGTAAATAACAGAAATATTAATTTTATTAGTATTTGACTTTGTTTTTCAATTTTTTGTCCATACGTCCACCTGATGGAGTATCGAATAAACATAGGCTACAATTATGTTTACAAAAAATAAAACAGAAAAAAGAACAAAAAAGGTAAACAACTACAAAAATAAATAAATAAAAAGTGCCAGGGGTAATCATATACAATCAGAATGAGGGTCCAATCAGATTTAAAAAATATCAAATAATGATTTTTTTTGAAATCACAAACTTTCAGTCTTAAAGTTAAAGAGCTCACAGACTTTTAAAATCTTCATATATTTTTTTCGTCCAGAGTCTCTAATACGGTCTATTCACAGCATTATAAATTATAAATGTGAATGAATTAATTAAATAAAATAACGTTTTATCCTCGTTAGAATATTCAGAGAAGCCAAAAAGTAAATTTTCTCATAAAACTGAGGTCTTGAATACTGAATAGTTTTATTGATACATTTCTGTATCTCACACCAAAATATAATTGAACAATGCCAAAATATTTATCCAAGTTTACTTTCTTTTATTATGGTTTAAATGACAAAAACAAAACAGTACAACAGACATTATGAAGCCAGGGGAACAATGGAGAGAAGAAAGAAAATATAAGAAGAAGAAGGAGAGAAAAAAAGGAACGTGCAATCACAGACATGCAGGATTTTGACAATAGAACACAAGTGGACAGTTTTAATTGCCTTTCTATTTGTACTATGTTGAATAGTACAAAAACAGTTTTCCAATTCTTTATAAACCTTTCTTTAAAGGGCTTTTTTGTTAGAGAACTTACACTTATGAATGTGAAACTTGACTAAAATAAGCAGGTTAATAACAAAAGCTTCATTATTCACATTATCATAGTTAAAATATTCAAAAACGACATTTTCAAAATGCTAATTAAAATTAAAGATTGCCTTTTCTTCGATAAACATACATCATACCATAACTTTTTCACATAACTACAACGCCAGAAGATGTGGGGGACTGTTTACAGGTGCAAAAAGAGCAACTAACATCAACATCCTTCTTAAACCTACAGAGAAAATATTTAACAGGAAAGAATTTATTTATTATTTTGAAAGAGATTTCTTTTACCTTGTTTGTAACAACAACAAAAACCCAGTGAGGTAATAACCAAACACTTTCCCATTGAAGATGATTAACAAATTTGCACCAATAAGCAATAGAGCAAGACTTGGTGGCAACTTTCTTTAGAAATAGAGAACGAATAGATTTGACTATTTATCCAAGTTTTCTCAACAGGTCAGCGTCACCTGTTCCTTCATCTAGCAGTCATAAGCCACACCCATTAGCTCGCCCATTGGTCAACAGTCCAGCAAAGCCCGCCCCCTGGGTCAGGGGCAATTCCGACGTCTTTAAAATCCCTGCCAGCCCCGCCTCCTATTCTGAGAGTTTCTGCACATCCAGCTCGATCATGGCGTGGGGTCATCCGTGTCAGAAGTACGCGTGACCTGTGGGATAGAGTTCCTCAGTAGTGCTCTCAGACGAGGAACTAACTTGTGACTTCGTTTGACATGTCACCGGACAGCTGAGAACTTATTGTAGTGACAGGATTTAACCAAGAGGAAGAAACTTCGGTTGCCATGTCTCTCCTCTGCGTGAGAGGTGCGTGCTGTTTTAAATATGTTTTCTGACTGTCAGCATGCAGTCAGACTCCGCAGGTGTTTTGTTTCTTTTAAGAGTTAAGCCGCGAGAGCGATTTTTTTTTTAACTATAAACATCTTATTATTTACTTTCTCTGAGATGTTTGCCGTTTTCGTGGAATAGTATACAATTTATTTCAATTAAGTGATGCTGTCAAGATCAAGCAGGCTGAAATGTTATATAATTAGAGGTTTGCTATAGGTATTGTGTAGTTTGAGGGAAGCAGCTGTTTGGCGTCGTGATGCAATGCAGCTTTGCAGCTCAAACAGGACAGTGAAAAAATAAATATAGATTTCTAAAACATATTGAGGTTTAATAGTTTTTTAATATGAAAAAAAAATAAATTTGGTGTTGGTGTTATTCAGAATATCATTAAAGTAAATTTAGTAGCAAATAAGGGAAATAAATAATTAATTTGACTTTTGCAAAAACGTATAGGTGAAACTTGGAGTGTGATTTGTTTAAAAATACTAAATTTATGATAAGAAATTATAGTGTGTATAATATTGTAAAATTGCATATAATGTGATAATATTTGTTATATTATATTTTAAATATATAATATATGTATGTGTGTGTGTGTGTATATATATATGTGTATATATATGTGTGTATGCATGCGTGTATATATACATTTGTATATACATTTCAAATATTGTCATGTAAATATATTATATATTTTAAATATATATTGTGTAAAATATAGTGTATATGTATGTAAATATAAAGAATTTTCTTTGTATCTTTTAATATATTTAATTCAATTCTGTAGATTCACTATTAAGTAATTTTAATTAATATTTAATAATTATTATTTAGGCCCTACTCATATTTACTTCATTAGTGTATATATATGAAGAGTTCAGATGCAAAAGCCTCTAAGTGCCATCTGAAATTTTCATCTAAAATGAGCATTTTTATCAGGCTCCTATGTTTAGGTTAATTTTACTCTAATGACTATGCAATTAAGGTGAAATAACTGAACGTAAATATAGGGGCCTGATAAAAATGCTCATTTTAGAAGAACATTTCAGACGGCATTTAGAGGCTTTTGCATCTGAACTCTTCATATGTAAAATTTTAAATATAATCACTTTATTAACAAAATACACACACACATGTAAATACTAATTATATAAAGTAAATACAAATGTATTAAAAACTAATTAAAATAATGGCATCTGTTTACTTATCTTTTTATTTAAAGTAACTTAATCTATAGAATTCTATTGAATCCATCTATCCATCTATCCATCTATCTATCTATCTATCTATCTATCTATCTCTATCTATCTACCTACCTATC